CCGTTATATGGTGGACACCAGAAAAAGTGGACCTATATTTATAATTTTTTTAAGACTTTTAGTATCCAATAACAACCCATGTAGGAAATTTCAGGGAATTCCGTTGAAAAACGCGCTCAAGAACCCCAAAATACCGAAAATTGTAGGTACCCTTATATGGGAGCTATGCCTAAATGTGGACCGATAAAGCCCATCTTCGAACCTGCCTACAGACAAAAGACGACTCTATGCAAAATTTTGGCGACCTATCTCAATTCGTTTAGACGCTAGAGTGATTACAACAGGCAGACGGACGGACGGAAAGACAGGCATGGCTACATTATCATAGAATTTTACGCTGATCAAGAATATATATATTTTATAAAATTGGACGGGGCCGACTATACGATACCCTTCACCACTTTGGGTACATACAAGAGATGCTCATTTGCTTCAAAATCGGCATAAATCAAAAAAAATTGATTTTGCAGAAAATGCGTTTTAGTAGTCAATTTACTCATACTTTATATGGGACAGAGGAGCTTCTACAGCTTCACAATTAGAGTGTGCTTGATTTAATCTGATATAGGGAACAATTATTTATGCCGGTCTTGCACCAAATTAGCGATATGCATCTTTGGGGAATCATTGAAATGGAATCGGTCGAAATTAACTGTGTGAAGTACATAGATATTTGAACTAAATTAAAACATACATAGAAAAGTTTTCAAATTTATGAAAAATTGAATGTCAATCATTTGTATGAAATCGAGCAAAGTATGGACGTATCGGAGAAAACTATACTGCAGCACAGTGCGGTATCAAAAATGTATCTCGACACAAAACCCAATACTCGTTATGCTAGGTCTCGATTAGTATGTTCTGCACTAATTCGTACTAAACGGACAAACTTTAGTTATTAGGTACAACATTCAGATGAAATCGGATGAAAATATATATGGAAGCTATATCTAAACCTGAAACGACTTCAATCCTTTACGCTATGCAATATTTCATATTTCAAAAAAGGAACTGATGAGGATCAGTGGCGTGATCCGAAACTATAGTCTTCCCTGCCTTACCCCTCGGCAAACAATGCCATACATTCCCCACTAATAAATGGTTGTTTTTTATAAAAACAACAAACTGGGATTCAGCCTGACTATTTTGCAAAAACAAAATCGGAAGAAAATATATATGGGTGCTATATCTAAATCTGAACCGATTTTTACGAAACTTAGCACACATCGCTCTTGGCCTAATTCAGTACAATATGCTAAATTTCGTGCAAATCGAATGATATATAGAGACTTTGGTGCACCATTTATATTAAATCGGACGAAAATATATATGGGACCTATATTTAAATCTGAACATATTTAAATCGAAAAGTACAATTTAACATGGACAGACAGATAGACAGACAGACGGACGGATATGCATAAATCGACTCAGAAAGTGACTCTGTGCATATTCTCAAAATCATGTGTCTATCTCGTTTCCTTTTGCCTGTTGCAAACATATTCACAAAGAAATAATAGCCCGTACCACAGCGTGGTGAAGGGTATACACATATATGGGAGCTATATATAAATCTGAACAGATTCTCACCAAACTTAACATAACAGAATCAATACGTTTTGCAATGTTAAGTATGGGAGCTATATCTAAATCTTAACCGATTTCAACGAAACATAGCACACATCATTTTAGACTTAATTTTATATGCTATGCATAATTTTGTGTAAATCGAATGGCATATAGGGACTTTGGTGCACCATTTATATAAAATCCGACAAAAAATTGATACGGCAGCTATATGTTAATCTAAGCCGATTTATACAAAACTTCTCAAACGTTAATTTGAACTAATTTCAGTACGCTGTGCAAAATTTTGTTTCAAACGGTTTAACACTGTGACCAGGGCGCGAACTTTTGTGGAATCGGACAAACCTATATATAGGAGCAATATTTAAATCTAAACCGATTTTCTTCAGTTTCAATTGGGTTAGTCGTTGGGTCAAATAAGTGGTCTGTGCAAAATTTTATATCATTTGGATCATAAATGTGACCAGTACATTGTCTTAAATCTAACATGGACTCAGAAAGGGATTCTATGCCTATTCTCTAATGTATCCATGTGTTTATCCCGCAAATTATGGAAATATATCCAATTCGAAAACAATATTTCAATCAAAAAGGGTACAAATGTACCCGGTTTTTGACCCTTCTGAAATTTCGACGCAATATTAAGATAATTTTGTATCACTATATGTGAAATGTTAAAATAAAATGTTTTTCGATTACAGCAAACGGCAATTACATGTGTCATTATACTTGACGTTGATATTACGAGGTACTTATTTGTTTCAAATGAGCACTTCGTTGTGAGAATACTTAGCCGTGTATTATGAACACTTTTCATCTGTATTTATACTCTACAGAACTGTGTTGTGAAAGTATTATACGTTTGTAACATCTTGAAATATAGGTTCCAGATGCAAGTCCTCTTTTTCACAGGCAAATTGTTATTTGGCAAATTTTTTTTTCACTTTTGAAATTTTCGCTTGCGTTTTAACTAGCAAATTTTTCTTTACCAAATTTGCGAATCTAAATACAAAAGAAAGGAAGAAACGTCAAAAATTTAAAATTAAAATTCACTTCCACAAATTAAAGCAATAGGTTCGTAAACAAAAGCCGGCAGTGTGTCAGTAAAACGAATAGGTTAAAAAGGAAATGTCAAAAAATTGTTTTCAAAGAACAGAGCAAAGCAGAATTTGCGTATACCGCAAATTCTGAACAGTCAAAAGTTTTGTTTTTCTTCCTCGCACCCCTCTCGCCTACAAACTCAGAATTTGCCCAATAAAAATTTGCCTGTGGAAAAGGGGACTAATTTAATGTGCAACGTTCATTATGTATCAACGAGTTCAATCGATTCTCATATGTGTTTTCGTCAAAAAATGTTAGATGAAATTCCGCTCAAATGGTCCGGAGGTCAAATGATCCATCAACGTTAATGATGTGTAAAAATAATGTGATGTAATGGATCAAAATTCACTTCTGCGGTATACATTCGTTGTTCTATTCGCCTTTTTAAATTAACTTTAAATAAAGCTTCGAGATATTCAAAGTATATATTTACAATTATGAAAATTTGATCATTCTTTAGAAAATCCAAAAAAGTCTGCTACTTTATGTAGAATATTTCAAAAATCAAAATATCTTATATTTTTTCTAAAAATAGACAATTTAGATGCACCCAACACCCAATATTTGTTCGATTGACACAACATTTTGCACAGCGCACTAAAATAGGTCCATATTGATGTATACGAAGTGCATGTTAATGGTGCACCAAAGTCCAAATATTTGTTCGATTCAGATAAAATTTTGCAAAAGATAAAATTTTGTCTGTGTAGTTTTGTTGAAATCGGTTCACATTTAGATATAGCTCCCATAAATAGTTTCGTTCGATTTCATATAAATGGTGCACCAAACTCCCAATATGTGTCCGATTGCGGCAAAAGTTTGCAAATGGTACATAATTAAATCCAGTTTGATGTCTGTGAAGTTTTGTTGAATTCGGTTCAGGTTTAGATAAAGCACCCAAATATATTTTCGTCCGATTTTATGTTAATGAAGAGCTTTGTTTGTTCGATTTACACGAAATTTGGAAGAGGCGATTTTAGAGTGGTATGTATTAAAGTTGGAAAAATCGGTATAGATTTAGATATATCTTTCATATATATGTATTGGTTTGATTTTATGTAAATTATTCGCAGAGAAGCCTACATCTGTTCCATATACACGAGATAAAATCAATTAGGTCTGTATTTACATACATGCTTTATATTGCTAGGTTTCATACAAATGGTAAACCAAAGAATCCAAGTCTCCCCGATTGACATGGAATTTTTCATAGATTTCTGAATGGTATGTGTTTGGGGGACATTTAATTTCGCCCGATTCTATAAAAAGGTCCTCTAAAATTGATATATCTGTTTTATTTACAGGATATTGTATATATTAGCATCTCTTGTATGTACCCAAAGTGGTGAAGGGTATCATATAGTCGGCCCGTCCGATTTTAAAACTTTCCTTACTGGTTTCGATTGTAAAATTTGTTTTAAATAGGTACATATTTATATATAGCTCCCATATATATTTCCTTCTAATTTTTTATTTTTTTTGTTTGGACAAGGCACTGTACAGCAGCATTCAGATTGGCATATGTCAATATTCCTTCAAATCGATCCAGATTTACATATAACTCATACACATAATTTTGTTCGATTTCATACAAATGGTACACCAAACCCTATAAATTATTCCAATGAAATGTTGCATATATTTCGGAATGACATGTTTATGGTTTAATTTAAATAGTTTTACATACCTACATAGACGATTTCATGGCAGTGGTCCCCGAAGATTCAACGTTCATTATATCAACAGGTTATTGTACATATACTACCAAAATTATTCAAGAATTACGTATGTTTTATTTGATTTACATTGGTTCATACCTTACAGTACCTTACAATAAGAACATTAGTAGCATTTCTAGTATATAACCAAAGTTGTGAAGGGTATTATATAGTCGGTCCCATCTGACTTTTGAACTTTCTTTCTTTTGAAGTTCCTAATAGTCTTACGATCTTAGGATATAATTATACATCGATCTTCCACAAATATGTAACTCCTCTTTGTCATGCCATACCAACTACGCCAGTGCCGACAATTCCGTTAACGATTGATGCAAAGAAATAACCAATGCGTTGCAACCACACTACCGCACACTTGTTCAAACAGAATAAACTTGAATCAAGAAATTCTGGTATTACAACAATAACAACCGCATATTTTGAGATAGTTTTTATGTTGGCTTTTTGGATTTCTAAGATTAAATTCAAGCCATTGAAGAATATACACCAAATACCATTGATGACGGTGATGATGACGATGGTCATACAACAAGTTTGTAATATTCCAATGCAATTCTCTTGAGAAGTGCAACACAGATGACTGCCGCACGCTCACACAGTTTCAATTGTGGTCTTAAGATGTAAGGAAGTAACAGATTTGTGTAAGCGGAACAAAACGACAAGTGTTGCTTCATTGACAAAAAGTTTTTTCAAAAATAAAAAAAATAAGAATTAAAAATTGTCTTTGAAATAAAATTCCGGTTTTTTAAGTTTATATTTTTTAAGAAAAATGAAAGCAGATGAAGCATTTAAAAGGTGCGGATGTGCCATGTCAATAAATCATATCCCTATTTTAATTTTTTCTATGTATTAACATTGTGTATAATGTGTGTGTCATGTGAACTGAAAGTGATCTAAATAAATAAAAAATCGTTTGGTGATAGCCCTCAAAACGTGTATTGGTTTGCATGGCCATATTGAAAATGGGTACTAGCCATTGCCAATTTTCGTATATCACTTCTTCCGATCGTCAATAGAAGATAAACTGTTTGAATTGTACTTCACAGTGTCTGTAGATAACAATAAAAATAAAGTACTGTTATTGCCCGATGGGGATTGTTGGAAAATTTATTCTAATATTGTCACCATAGGGAAGAAGATTATGCATTGAATAAAGATAGTAATCTGGAATTTTTGTTAATACAAGTGAAGAGAGAGATTAATAAATTGCGATATAAATTTTTGAAATTAATTAAAAAGCTAAACGGCCTAGACCAAACTAACTTAACTTTTTGCTAAGCAAACCAAACAAAATAGATGTGGACAAAATGGCCTGTCGAATACAGTTACCCCCAGTTTGTATAACCTTTAATAGGGCGATGGAAAATAACTAGAACTTTGGATATGAGAATTACAGTTGCTGTATGGATAAGGGGGAGGGACATAACGAAATGATATTTTGAGGGTTCAGTCACATTTTCCAATTTAAAGGCTTGGTTGGAGGCTGACATATATATATATATATAGTATAGGTATAGTCCAGTTTTAAAGGTATCACCTCATGTGAGGTAATTTGAAGACTTTTACTGTATTTTTCAACCGAAGGTGCTTTAATTTCGCGTGCCGAAGGAGGGTGATAAAAAATTCTGTAGAAGTGTTCAATATAGGCTCTAATTTGACATAGCCCCTGTATTGTGACATAACTTTAGTTTCAGAATTTGAAAGCCTTTTGAACGGGGAGATACATTTTTGAACTAATTCCATATATATCGTTTTTTTTTTTTTGAAATTTTTAAGGTTTTATACAGATTTTCGCAAAGATGTGGATGAAATTTGGCATTCCTGATTCCGGGTGAATAAAAACTTATTCCCATTTTGTTTTCGGTTTTCATTGCATTGAATTCTTCACCATGTGTGGTTGTAGGACAATTTACCATTAATCAATATAAAAAGCAATTTTTTATTAAATTTATAATTTTTCAAAATTGTGGCAGTTGTGTGTGAGGCCTTCCTCACCATGGATGATAGACTCATATAGTGTACTAGCATATGCCCGTTACTGCGTTTGCGGAAAGTGGACCTTTCAAAAATACAAAGTAAATTGTATATTTCTCTATAATTTGTAATTTCACCAAAATCCAAATTTTACCAATTTTGTTTTTGCAAAATAGTCAGACTGAATCCCAGTTTTAAGGGATTTTTCGATTTTAATTTTTCAAGATTTTCAATGGGCTGGTAAATCTATACCAATGCTTATTAATGTTTGTAACTTTACACGTATATATTTGAAGATTTAATAGAGAAGAAAAATAATTTACAAAAAATGTTTGTTATTGTTTTGTTGTTGTTTTTTGCAATAAAAAAGTCCTTATTTTTGATGGCGGGCATGATAACTCCTCACTGGAACGTCGGAATCCGAAAATTCCAACGGTGTTAGAAAGAGTACATGTCTGGCTCTCGTATGGCTCTAAAATTAATCAACGAAGATCTATGCCGATTGACTTTATCCTAGTTCATACGATAGCTATACACTCACAGAGATACGTATAAAAATTTGGAATCGATTGGGTTATTGGTTTTTGAGTTATCGTGTCCGCTATTCGCAAAACCAATGTTTGGAGAAAAACGCGTTTAAAGTTTGAAAAGCCCTTCAGCCGTCCCTTGATGCTGACGCAATAAATCGTCTATATCTTCAAGCGTTCTTGATATTTTCAATTGACATTTTGTAGGGACATTCTTGAATTAGTATAGATTCGAATTAAATTTAAAAAAATGACACCGTGAATGGGGGGAGGGTGCCCTTAATACACATTAATATCAATTTCCACAACTACCCACCCCAACAATCCAACATTAATGATATTTCCCAATTTCAGGATTCCAACCTCATTGTTTCACCCAAATCCCAATTGGACTAAATTTAGTACTATATAGTTCACATAAGTACGAATTTCCAAAATTTCTTAATTCCAAATTTAAGGATTCCTGCTCCATCGATTCACATAAATACAAATTTGATCAAATTCTGTGGCTTTTAGTTCACACCAATATAAATGTTCATAATCTACATCATAAATCCAACAGAAATCATGTTTCCCAATTTCAGGATTCCGGCCTGATCGGTTCACATAAATCCAAATTTAATATCATTTAGTACACATTAGTAAAAAAATCCAAACCTTTCTACACACTCCTACAACTACATCCTACAACCCAACAATAATCTTAATTCAATGTTTGAGGAATTCAGCACTATTGGATTACCTAAATCAAATTTAGTACACACTTATATAAAATTTCCAATATAATTCAAGTTGTATAAAATTTAGTACCCATAAATACAAATCTCCAAAACTATATCCATACAGGATTCCAGCCCCATTGGTTCACTCAAAATCAAATTGTGTCAAATTTAGTACACATCAGTAGAAGTTTTCAAAATTTCGTACATACCCAACTGTTATCCTAACTTCAAATTTTAGAATTTCAGTTCTATTGGTTCAGCCAAAATTTAAATTGTACCAAATTTAGTACACATAAGTACGAATTTTCAATGTCATATAACCAAGAGAAATCTTATTTCCCCATTTCAGGATTCCAGCACTATCGATTTACCATAAATTCATATTGTACAAATTTTAGTACACATTAGAAATGTCCAAAACTTCATGCATACTCCATTCCTACATCCAACAGTGATTTTAATTCCATATTTTTAGTATCCCAGCTCTATCGTACTCATGAGTACACATTCTCAAAACTACCTACATATCCCAAACCTACACTAAGGTAATGGTAATTTCAAAATCCAGGATTCCAGCTCCATTTGTGGCTCCAAATTCAAATTGTATCAAATATAGTATATATAGTGCATGAGTACACACTTCCAAAACCACCTACTTATATCGACCCTACTTCTCAACCTGGCTTCGTATTCCAAACTTCGGATACCTATAATTCGAATTTCCAAAAAAACACTTTGTACTCTTACCCCATTAACTACTTTTCGAGTCCATTCCAGTGCGAAATTCCAAAATCCCAGTCAAAAAAAAATCCCTAATCCCAAATTTTAAGATTCTAGCTGCAGCTGTTTCGTCTGAACTTTGATGAATCGTTAAGTTAATCAGCCAATCACTTTGCTCTTTTATTACTTTAGATTGGAATATGATTCGCTTCGTATAACACATGTGTTTTTATTAAACAGTTGACAATCTGTGCCAAGGGACCAAATTATACACAGATTTTATTATTAGCAAAGAGGTTTCGGATTTAATTTTGATCAAATCGGTTATTCAATTCGCTTCAAATTATATTTATATGTTTAAAAAATATTGACCATTTATGAGGGAGGTACCGGAAGGGATGGAATACTGGGTCTAATCTTGGGACTTGATATAGGCTTGATAAAGATAAAAGGTTATGCAAAATGTTGCTCCAACCGGACATTCCATTCACCTGATATTGGATTGGGTACGTACCAGAAGGAGTGGACCAGTGGGTCCCATCTTGGAACAATGTGCCAAAATTCAAGTTCTATCTTAAATATTGCGATCTCTATAGTAATTCCCACTGACAGAGGGACATGGTTAAACCGAGAGAAATATTCGATAGAATATTATTCTGATCAAGAATATATATATATTGGGTCTACAAATGTAATATCTTATTTTTCTGAGGAGATAAATCGCGATCCTGAACAAAACTTGGTGGAAAGGTCAAGAGGAGACGAATCATTAGCGAATCTTTTTAACTTTTAAAAACTTGGATCATGTTTGAGAATATCATTTTGAATAATAAATGTTAGGAATATCCAAACATTCTGGGATACTCTGGTACACTTTTTTTGATCTTTAACATACCGAAATTTTTAGCAAATCCCCTATCCTTAAGGATAGGGGATTTGCTGATAGTCTGAAAGCAGCAAGCTTTCAGATTTTTAAAATAATTAAATCGAAAATTGTATTTCTTCTTCTATTTTCAGTTGCTGTAAAAATTTACGCGCAAAAATCCTCATAAAGAATGATACCTTAGACAAAATATGCATCTTTTTGGCTGAATTTCTGGGCACCGCAATTATGATCTTCCTGGGCTGTATGGGTTGTGTGAACACACAACACTTCCCCAACAATCATTTGCAAATGTGTTTGAATTTCGGTTTGGTAGTCATGGTGGTGATACAATGTTTTGGTTGTGTTTCCGGTTCACATTTGAATCCGACCGTTACCATTGCTGCCTATATTTATAAAATGATATCCGGGCCCATGACTGTGATATATTTTTGTGGTCAAATGTTGGGCAGTTTTATGGGTTATGGTTTACTGAAGGTGGTATTGCCGGAGAGTACAATTAATTCGCCTTCGACTGGTTTGTGTGTTACCATTCCGCATCCCGATTTGACTGCGGGACAGGCATGCCTAATCGAATTTATTATAAGTGCTGTTTTGATTTTCATTTGTTGTGGTGTCTGGGATCCACGTAATGTCAGGTTTCATGATTCCGTGCCAATTCGTTTTGGTTTGGCTATTGCATGTTTGGCCATTACTGCTGTAAGTACAATAACAAGGATATTTTTTTATAATAATTGCAATTATTTTTTTATAATAACAAGACGTTTTATCCTTATATTATAGGGTCCCTTCACAGGTGCAAGTATGAATCCTGCCCGTTCCTTTGGCCCCGCCTTGTGGCACAACAGCTTTACCAGGCATTGGATATACTGGGTCGGTCCCTTGCCTGCAGCCGTCTTTGCAGCCTTCAGTTATAAGTTCATATTCAGACGTGAAGTCAAAGAAGAAGCCATCCATCAAAAATTACATAGCTTGGATGATGTTCCATTGTCATAAATATGCATATTCATCACCATTACGACATCTTTGTGCAATTCTCTGAAGTGAAAATTCCGATTCATATTATTTATTTTTCATGATTATATTATTTGATTTTAAACAGTTCGTATGTGAGTAGTCATGACGTTTAATAAAGTTTTTAATTTATTTATTTTAAAATAGTTTATTTGTGTTTAAGGACTCCTCACAGGTGGATATAGAAATGCCCACATATGGATGATTAACAAATGCTATACGGAATTACTTTTCTTATCTTCCTTTTATATATTGTACAAAGATTTTACGACTTCTGGGATGTACAAGGTATAGAAATGTGGATATATGGGTCCTCGTATGGATTACTGTATCTCTAAATTTTCAATATTTTGAAGGGGTAAAATTTCTATGTAGCTTCAAATATAGACATTTTACTTATTTTAATGATCCTGTGTTGAAACTGTTTCGAAAGCAGCTTCACTGAAAATGTTATTTGAATTTTACCTTATAAGGGCAGTGATCATTTGAAAGTGTTCTTTAAAGTGATTATTTATACTCTTTCGAGTCGAGCTTAATGATCTAAGTTTTGCAATGAAAAGAAAAGCCAGGAGAAGAATCTACGTACCCACCATTATGCGACACTGCATTATGCGTTTATACCCTCAGCGTTTTGGCTAATGAGGGTACGATAAAAAAGTGATCAATTTCCTTGAAAATTAAGATGGACAATATCGGTCCACTCCTTCTGGTGCAATATTTTGAAAACTTGTAAATTTCATATGATCGGACGGGCCGACTATATGATACCCTTCACAACTTTGGGTACATGCAAGACATGTTAATATCTACAATATCCTGTAGATAGAACGGTCATAGAATCTTTGAAGGACCATTGAGATAAAATCGGACGAAATTAAGTGTGCTATCTAGATAAATATTTGAACCCAAACACATACCATACTGAAACCGAAACTATAACCAGTAAGGAAAGTAGTAAAGTCGGACGGGGCCGACTATATGAGACCCTTCACCACTATGGGTATATTAAACAGATGCACCCTAACAGAAGGCCATTAACATGAATATTTGCAGCCCAATTAAGACGAAGTCGGTCGGAAATATACATGACCTACATCTGTACTTCTACACGAAATTACGTCATTCTATTCTGAAAAACCCTGCACTGTTTTAAGTAAATTTGTTGCACCATTTACTTAAAATCGGACGAAAATAGATATGGAAGCTATATCTAAATATGAACCGATTTCAAACAAACTTGTCACAGGTTAGGTTAGACTAATTTATGCACGTTTTGTTTCTAATGGACATATTTCGGGTCCTTGGATCCCACTTAAGATCGGACGAAGCTATATGGGAGCTATATCTAAACTAGATACACGTTTGGCTATACTGTCTAAAGTAGGTTGTGCAAAATTTTGTATCAATCGGCCTAACTTTGAGTCTATGGTGCACCATATATATGGGAGCTTTATCTAAATCCGAACAGATTTCATCAAAACTTGACTTAAGTATGTTGTGCAAAATTGTGTGGCAAATCGGACAATTTTCAGGAAACCATACACACCACTCTAGACTCAGTTCAGTACGATATGCCAATTTTAAAAATTAAAATTAAATCGGGTGAAAGTATATGGGAGCTATATCTAAATCTGAACCGATTTTCACGAAACTTAACACACATCATTTTAGACTCAATTCAGTACGCTATGCCAAATATGGGCAAATCGAAATATATATAGAGACTTTGGTGCCCCATTTACCTTAAATCGGACGAAAATATATATGGGAGCTATATCTAAATCTGAACCGATTTTTCCCAATTTCAATAGGGTTCGTCCTTGGGCTAAATAAGTGATCTATGCCAAATTCCAATTCTGATCATAAATGCGACCTGTACTTTGTTTACAATTTAACATGGACAGACAGACGGACATGCATAAATCGACTTAGAAAGTGATTCTATGCATATTCTAAAAAGGAACCATTTGTCTATATCGTTTCCTTTTGCCTGTTACAAACATATGCGCAAAGACATAATACCCTGTACCACAGTGTTGTGAAGGGTATAAAAATGTTCATCCAACTCGCCTCTAAATTATATAGCTCTCACTATTTCATTCACTGTAAAATTACGCTTCGCAGCATCTTTGAAGAAGTACGGTGCAATAATGTAACCAACCCATAAACCGCATCAAACTTTGACCTCTCTGGATGCATTGAACCAAAAAAAAAACTTCGTTGCTGAACACTATTTTTCGATAAAAAAGCGCTTCTTCGGATATACTACGTATTTTTACGTGGTACTGTAGATATAAGATGGAGATGTCATTGTTTCTGAAGTTTTATTTATGTTTTACTCAATTTAAACTTTAATCCCGAATCGCGAATTTTTACTTTAAATTTTAAAGTAAAAATTCATGATTCGGGATGCGATAACATACTATCGCATTTCAACACACTATATGAAATACTTTTCACCCTATTTGTTTTTCAACACACTAATAGTGGGAAATTATATAAAGGTGATGCTAACAATACTTGTAAAATGTAGCATACTTTAGGGAGTGCTAAATTCAAAAATTGTTTAAATTAAATATCACATACTTTGGGACAGGAGATAAACGTTTTTTTACTATACGTTCACCATCATAAGTTGAAACCGCTTTATGTTTGATACAGCCCGATATATAATTATGTTCGATTTTGTGTATGTGACACGTGATGACATGATGGCACATGTAGACTGATTTTTTTTAGTTTCTAACTCCCACAAAAACATATATACTTTCAATCGGCCAGGCCAATCGGTCTTATAAAGACCTGTGGCTTCAACACATATCTATTCGACGACACACAGTGTCACGACCGCGGCCAAAAATGGTCAAAACCAAGTACCACGGATGACACATTTTTTGATGAGGTTTGATAGAAAATACTCCAATTAGAATAAATATGAAATTTTACATCGATATGTCGAGTAGTTTTGTCTCTACAAAGGTTCAAATCTGATAATTATTTATAAACTGATTTTTTACCATATTTTCGAGAAATGGGTGTGTTTTTCTGATGCTCAAATATTTGAATATTCAAATTAACAGTTATTATAAAAGTGTTTATTTTGGTTGCTGTGGATGTTAAAAACTAGAATTCGCTTTAGTTTGTATGTATATAGATATCATATGGTGTATACAGTCGTCCACACTTGTACACTGCGTATCATAACTATAGACGCACCCGTAATTCAATTGGTATGTTAGTTGACAAATAAAATGGACCCATTAAGTTATTGTTCACAATAAAACGATCAAAAACACATATTATTCAACAAAAATAATTAATTTATTTTTTATGGTTTCGCCGAATTCTGCACTTTCAAAATTGCTGGTGTTGCATAACTATAGACGCACTTTTCCAAAATTAGAAAATTTTATTTTTAAAAACTTAAATAAAATAAAATAACTTTTATAAATAATGGGTACGGCCTCCCTTATTTTGAATAAGTTCAAAAATTTTATCCATCACACTGTTGATCAAAATTATTCGCAAGTCTTCATCGATTGACCGCCATTCATCGATAATCACTTCGTGGAAATAAAATAATGTTTGGTATTGGCGGTTTTCTGCATAGACACGACGAGGCAAGATTCCACACATGTTCTCGATCGGATTCTGGTCGGAAATTTTAATATTTTTCGATTTTAACCATACTTGAGTATGACCACTTTTATGAACTGGTGCGTTGTCCTGCTAAAAAACGAGTCCTTGATTGTTGCTGCTTTCCCAAAATGTCAATAATTTGTCTTCCAAGACTTGAACGTACTCTATTGAATTCATCCGACAACATGGAAATGTCAAATAATGGCTATAAAATGCTCCCAAGGCCATTAAGGAACCGCCACCGAAATATTGTATTAAGAAATAACGATATTTCGGGAACCGCCACGTTGGGAGCATTTTATAGCCACGGAATGCTTTATTTGACATTTCCATGTTGTCGGATGAATTCAATGGAGTACGTTCAAGTCTTGGAAGACAAATTATTGACATTTTGGGAAAGCAGCAACAATCAAGGACTCGTTTTTTAGCAGGACAACGCACCAGTTCATAAAAGTGGCCATACTCAAGTATGGTTAAAATCGAAAAATATTAAAATTTCCGACCAGAATCCGATCGAGAACATGTGTGGAATCTTGCCTCGTCGTGTCTATGCAGAAAACCGCCAATACCAAACATTATTTTATTTCCACGAAGTGATTATCGATGAATGGCGGTCAATCGATGAAGACTTGCGAATAATTTTGATCAACAGTGTGATGGATAAAATTTTTGAACTTATTCAAAATAAGGGAGGCCGTACCCATTATTTATAAAAGTTATTTTATTTTTTTTAAGTTTTAAAAAATAAATTTTTCTAATTTTGTAAAAGTGCGTCTATAGTTATGCAACACCAGCAATTTTGAAAGTGCAGAATTCGGCGAAACCATAAAGAATAAATTAATTATTTTTGTTGAATAATATGTGTTTTTGATCGTTTTATTGTGAACAATAACTTAATGGGTCCATTTTATTTGTCAACTAACATACCAATTGAATTACGGGTGCGTCTATAGTTATGATACGCAGTGTAGTACTTAGTTCATCAAATTTGTAAAACAATTTTTGAAATTAGTGGAGCATAAAAAAAAAGTTTAAAAAAGGTTAGCTCTAATTTTTTTTATTTGAGTGGTGAAAAGTGTGTTATTTAAGGAATAAAAAAAATTAGCTGCGGAGCCCTGCGGTCCTAAGAGTTATTTAACTTTTTTGGTGATCACCTTTTGAAAAAATATGGCATATTCACGAAATGATTAGAAGCGGATGGTCAAATACGTTATGTATACAATTAAATAAGTTATTGAGGGTCAAATAGGAAGGAGAAATTGGATTCAGAACATAGTAATAATACAATATTTTACATAAAATATGCAATTAAGTGGTAAAAACGGTATTCGAAGGGTTGATAT